TTTTAATGGTTTTTCATTAATAAAGACTGCTCATTGTTTTGGCTGTACAGTAGAAGGAAGAAAAAAGTAATCTTGGATTCTATTTAAAGAGCAGCCTGTGTATTAAAAAACTATTAAAGATTCTGCAGTCATTGACAGAAAGATTTTGCATGAGAAAAGAGTGCAGAATCCATCTAGGAAGCATCGAGTAATTTCAGACGAGGATGGGTGATAACATCTCTGGCGTCATGCGTTGTTTGAAATGTCGCGTGTAAGAAGCTGCGGTGCTGCTGAGGTTCCTGACCCCGGCTCTGCTTTCTCGCCATGGAAGCCAGCAGCCCTTTTGCCCCTGATTTCAGTGGAGATAAGGTCAAGCCCCCAGACACCTGGCCGCAATCGAAAATGAGCTCGCGGGGCTGCCAGCCCTGGGAAATCGATGGGCTCTGCGGCTCCCAGAGCCGCAGGTTGGCACGGGACAGGGTGTTGGTGGAGCTGGAGTTGCTGGGCTGTGGTGGAGAGGTGCTTGGTCCCGTGCACCAGCCGGGCTGAGGAACAGAGCGAGTGTCCATGGTGGGGCTGGGCGAGAAGATGCCCTGCCCCAGCCAGGCGCGGGTGGCCTCATCTCCGCAGCCCTCAGGGGACCACCATGGCCATGGCCTGTCCTCACTGCTTTCCCTGGGGAGGGGGAGGGGTGGGGCTGTCTGACACTTAGGTCATCCCACCATGTCAGTGGAAATGTGTATGATTTATTAACACAGGTGAGGGCTCTTAACTTGTTTGGGTTTTGAAAACCGAATTATTTATCAGCCCTTAAAAGGCCAATTCAATTAATTCCAAATTTTATTTGATTAAAGCCATGATGCTTACTGTTGGAAAACTGAAACAGAAATAGCCATGAGTTATGCTGTTTCAGATGGGTAAATGTCACACACAGAATGAAGGGATTTTTTTTACTAGGCTTAAGTGAAACAGAGTCTTTATTTAGTGTCATGTTTTTATTTAAAAGTATTTATTTAAAGCTCTAAAAAACAAAGAATTCAATAAAGCAAGACAGGTGCAACTGCAAATGATTAATGATATAATTCTCAGTACTTTATAAAGTGTCTAACGCTGAAGAGATTTATACAGTGCAGAATGGCAATTGTGCCTTGATGGAAGGAATAGGTAATCAATACCTGCAAGCTTAGAAAAAGTGTTCTATTTCCTCCTCTAATGATATAGGGTTTTTTGCAAGGCAAGGATGTCTGGACCATGAGACACTTGGAAGAAGAATTAATTTGAAATCTGTAGTGGAAGATCAGTTTCAATTAAAACTGCACTAGAATGTCCATGGAAAAAAGCAGGCAGTTAGGCTTAAACCTTCTGATGGCTACCAGTGAATAAATGAATCCCACTGCGCTATTCTTGATTACATTTAATAGGTTGTTGAGCTTATTTTTTCTGGGTAGGGGATATAATTTATTTACTTTGGTCTCAAACTCAAAACTCATTCTAATTGTTAAAGCTGGGATGGCCCCAATCCTGCGCTGCTGGGAATGAAGATGTTGAGGTCATGGCCTCTATTTCTGTCTAGAATTGCTGCCATAATGGTGTAGGTCATATTGCATGTAATAATTTGCATATCAAAAACTTCTGAAAGAAATTAATGGAAAACCCAGCCGTTTATAAAATCCTGCGCTGATTTTAACTAGCAGGTCTTGAACCTCTAAATCGGAGCTTAGCCTTATGACTGTAATTTGGGATGTCAGGACTTGAAGTCACAGTACCAGCACTAAGTTGGCGGTTTGAATTGCTGGAAGAGTTTCACTGCATTAGATTTTTCTTTAATAATTCAGCACCAGTACGGAAACATTTTATGCGTGAAAAATAATACTATCACAGGAAGACAGCGGATACTGGTAGGCTTTTTTTGGTAAATTATAGATTTAGAACCAACTGAGGCTACTGCACTTATAGAAAGAGATGCCTTGCTATTAAATTAATCCAAACAAGTTAAATTAATATAAAAAAGCAGACCTAATGAATGTTTCTTTCTAAATTATACAAAGCTATACAAGCCTTTAAATTTCTATGAAAAACTACATTTTGGCAAGAGTCAGTCCGAGTACCCCAGTTACTTGAGGTTTTAATTCAACAAGGTAGTTTGTTTGCTTCTTTACCCTTATGGCTTATTTTATTCATTTTGACAAGATAGTTTTCACTACAAATTGGTTGAGAGCTGGCTGTACTTTCTTTAAAAAAAAAAAGTCTTTGTGACAAGATTCATGGAAGGAACCCTATAGTCCTGGCTAAAAGAAATCCGCCTACTAAAAAAAAGAAATCTCCCCAGTGACTGAGGGGTCACCAAAATACTTACAAAAGAAAAATTTTAGTGCATAGCTCCTTTTGAATGCACAGCTGAAACCACTGCGATAGCCTCTGTGAGCAGAGCGCTTTTGAAAAGCTCACCCCATGTTTACAACAAAGCCAAAAAATGAGAGCTGGCGGGTTTGATGATTATGTGTAGTATGAAACATTTTAAAGCGAATTCCCAAATTTCATGGAGTAAATGCAAGGTTATATGAAAAGTAAATTTGAATTGCCAATTAATTCACTGCAAACCAATTACTAAGATCATCGTGAATGAGGAAAAATATCTGTGTTTGAGTGGAACAGGTTTGGTTTTCCCCAAGTAGGGTTTTTAATAATTCTGTTCTCCTTGGCTGTGTTACACTGGGAAATTAACTGGCAGTGTCTTTTGCTGACAATACAAGTTGAACCATGAGATAAACAAAACTGATTTTTAAACTGGGCAGATGATGTAAATGACTTTTAAAGGATGTTGCAGTTTTGCCTAATTGTAGTTGAAAGTAAAACACTTTCTTGTTATCGTTTTGATTACTATGCCGTGTTGTGTGCGGGGAGAGTAGCACAAAATCTTCCTAGTGATGAAGTGTCCTGCGTTAGCCCTCGGGAAGGTAGGAAGAATGCATTTCGCAACTAAACAGATTAAAACCCAGGCGCCAAAGAAATTGGCCTTAACAACTGCCGGGTTTGGGTGGCACTAGCTGAATTTGCCTATGCCTCTCAGATGCAAGGGTCATAAATGCATAGTGGTGCATCATTTACTGCTGTCTGCCTGTCGAGCAGACGTGCTGACTGTGGACTGCAGAGGCACGATACAGGTATGACATCAGGGGTCTCCGGAGAGCGGAATTCAACTCTGGGTTGTAACTTGGTTATGGTAAATGAGCTTGGGCAAATTGCTTCCCTTCTCAGGCCATCAATTTCCCTGTCTTTACATGAGAATAATGTTGCTGATCCCTGCTGTAAAGCACTTCAAGAACTGTGAGCAAAGTGCTTTACAAGAACTCTGTGCTGTTATTTCAGGAGCTTAAACCACTGTTTGCACTCACAGGAAGATAATCTCTTAGTCTCTGTTAATACAGTTTAAGAGTTGGAAAGGGAGGTCATAAGAAAAATTTGAAATTTGCTGGAGATCCTCCTGCGTGTGCTGGTGAGGGTCCCTGATGTTACATTGCATCTTGAGCTGGTGTCTGATGGGGATGACAAGGTCTTTGCCTGAAACCTTTTATTTTTATGTGTTATTTTTACTGACTGTTCGTGCTGGAGAATCTCGCCGAATAGGCAGGGTGAGTTAGGGCTGTGGCAGACAACCTCTGGCAGATTTAGTGGTGGTTTGTGATACTACCTCTCGCAGCTCCCCTGTCACACCATGAGACATTGCTGCTTTCCTTCTCCCAGCAGCAGTGGCGGGGCAATTCTGCCATGAGATTTAGTTAAGCAGTTTGAGGGTTGACGACTCATTAACACACCAAAAAGTGATCCGGAGCTCGTGAAAGCTCCGTGACCGGAGCAGGATGCACTCCTCCTCCTGTGCCTTGTGAGTTGGGTGGACCGTGGTGATAACAGCGATTATCTTAAACTGCTCGAAAATACTTTGAAGTGCTACATTGAGCCTGTGAGGACCCTGCCAGGCACCTGCGGTGCTGGGGACAGAGGCTGCTGGTGGCATTGCTCTTAGCAGCTGTGGCACGCCTCTGCTCCTACTGAGCTTGCATGGTGGCTAGTGATGGGCTCACAAATTACAGAAGCTTACATTGCTTTCCAGAACTTAAAATCCTCCCTGTGATTTTTTTTTTTTTTAAATCAAAATAGAGAGTAGAGGAATGTGGAGGGGAGGAGAGGTGACAGTGTTAGGTTCTGTGTCTGCTTTTGGCTAGCTGTCATGTGATATGGGTGGCTCATGTGCCCCGGTACAGCCAGGTATGCAAGACACAGCCCATCAGTCCTCAGAGCATCTCATTTACTGCTTGTGTTTGACTTGGCTTCTTTTGAGAGAAAGGCTTACATCAGGGGAGAACAGGCTGTGCTAATAAGGAAAATAGAAAAGTCATGGAAGAAGAGCAGAAAAAAAAAGTTGTATTTTCCTGACAGATCATTGCCATCTTTATTTCCTCCATCCTGAGTAACTTTTTTCTCCTTTGCAGTTTTCTTCAAATTTACTAATATACATTGAGCTTAATTCTTTCTTTTTATCTTTTTTGGCTTCAAAGCCTCCAGAAGAAATGAGATCATTCATAAAATTCATCCTATCTAAGCAGAGTGTTACACAAACATGAGTTAATGGATAGCTGGTACATTATTTGTCTCCTATGAAAGCGTGAACTATATACTAATATATTAAGACTGAAGCTTTAGTAAAGTTCCTGTAACACCATGCTAATTCATAACATATGCGCAAGGAGAACTTGGAAATTGCAGATAGTTTTATAGAATAGTAATTTAAAAAAAAAAAAAATCCATTGTTTGTTACTGCTAGAGGCAAAGTTGGAGTACTGCGCCAAGCTAATGGATTTCAATCTCCTTAGAAGTTTACAAGTCTTAACCTCTTTCGAATGCGGGGAGTGGAACTGCGGCGGAGTTACCCGGGGAGCTTAAGTGCTTCATCGTCTTTCTTAAGAGTTATCCGGAAGTATTGAGCCCCTGGAATGTTCACTGGCATTGGTATTTTTTCACAGGTACCTATGGTCCTGAGCACTGGGTTACTTCCAGCGAGAAGTGTGGAGGGTCTCACCAGTCTCCCATAGACATCATAGACCATCAGGCTCATGTTGGAGATGAGTATCAAGAGCTGCAGCTTGATGGTTTTGACAATGAATCTTCAAACAAGACTTGGATGAAAAACACAGGAAAAACGGGTATGTTCTTTTCTGTTTGCCTCCATAGCCTGCCTGCAGTCAATTAAAAATTCAAGTCATGTTCCACCCTCCTCCTCGTTCATTGTTCTGTTGTTTGGGTTTTGCTGCCTTCCCCCTCCCCCCCAATATAATTTTTCAGCAGCAGCCACCTATCTCTGCCTCTGCATTCTGTGCAAAGCTATTGCACAGAATAGCAGATAGATTTTAAGGGTTTTTTTTAAGGGTGGGTTTTTTGTTTTTTTTTTTTAGGTTCTTAGTATAAAATAATTCTCTTGGTAGTCAGTTGTTCCTCAGAATAAAAGGCTGTATAAGAGTTTCAAAGTCTAACCTTGAATTATCAGCTTTGGGAGGCTGTAACATCTAATCCAAAAGAATGCTGAGACGCAAGGTGCCCAGACTTTTGTAGGAAAGAGGAAGTCTTAGAAATTGGAACGCTTTAGAGAAGAAAGAGCAATAACTGCTCAGAGTACTGGGGGCTTATTAATGTATTTCTGATATGATTATTGCACTGTGTTCTTCACTGAACTGAATCCTCTTCTGCTCTGTCTGTTCTGGCTTTTAGAGAAAAGTACAGTCAGAGTACTGCTTATTTTTACCAAAACAGTTCACCAAAAGGTCAAGGTTGATTTATATGCAAAGCCGCATGCATTTGATTACTCTTTAATTCTAAAAATGTAAAAAGCAGAAATTATAAGGCCACCCTCTTCATCTGACAAGGTCAAATATTTTTAGGGAATTGGATTAAACCACTAATTAATTCAATTTTGTTTATTGGAAGTATATTTTTACCTTTAACATTCGACACGCATCTCTCTAGTGCTTTATGTAACGTGTCCCTAGTCAGAGGTCTGCTAGCAAAACCCAGGGCATGTACCTGCTCCGGGAGTTTGCAGCCCAGCTGTGCACGCGGCGTGACCTCTCATACACCCACTGCTTCCAGGGGACTTTGGATCTGAGCCGCAGCCTGGAGTCCAGGAAACGCTTCAGATCCAGTTCCAGCAATTCAGGATCTTAGCAGGAGTTGAGAGTTATTGGCCCTCAGGTGAGATGGAGTGACAGGCTGTGATCCTGGTTTCTTTCACTGCAAAGCCAAGCCAGCTAAAGTCAACCACCACCAAGCACAGCTTGGGGTTTTGGTGCGTTGCTGAGGGTTTTTTCCAGCTTCACTAAGAAATGTTCCTGTTTGCTTTGAAATCCTGACTTTGTTGCCCTTAGTAGCAACATGAGGTTCAGGCCAGGCTGAATGCTACAGAAATTTGGTGCTTAATTAATCTATTCATGTTATGCACCCTGCCCTTTTGGTCACAGAGGGGCTTTTGTAGTAACCAGCAATGAATGTAATTAAGAATACCACAAGAAAGTGCTGGTGGTATTCTTCTAAAAAAGATGCTAATTCTATACTGTATGTGTAATACCAACATATTGCTGCATATATAATAGGAAACCATGTCAAACCACAGCGTGCCAGGAAATTTTCCAGTCTCCATGCAGTTGGCGAAGCAAGCCGTAGCTTCAGTCTCCTCTGCTGGGTGATTTTAGCACTGCTGCTATATCCGATTTCCTCTCCCATTGGGGGATGGATTTTTGCTGGCCAGTTACTGCTTCGTAGAGCAACAGTAACTGTCACTTTTCTTGGTAACTTACGGCCTTTTACTGGTAATGTGAAGACTCTTTTTGCCTTGCTGTCATCCCTGATTTCTTCTGCTGAGCTCTTAACTCCTCCCTTATTTTATCAAGTCCCATTCTTTTTCTTCGTTTTCTGACCTTTTGAAGAAACTTGCCTGGGATTAATTTTTAAGGTGGTAAGTGGCAGAGCAGCAAACCAAGTTAAGATGTTTTGGCTTGTGGTAGAACATAGAGGCAGGTTGTGCCACAAATTGCGATGCATTCTGGCAGCAGAGTTTTGGAGCAGATGGCCACAGGAGACCTTCATATTGCAGACTGACAGAGACAGTAAACGAAATATCCGTTTAAGCAATGGTGACGGATGTAGAGGGCATTTCTCAGCAATTAATGACTGGTTAAAAGAGACAGGGGTCTGAGGGAAAGCCAAAGGCCCTTAACCTTGATGCTCATTAACTGGCAGGAAATGTGTTCTTTGGGTTATTGTTGTTGCTATTGGACCTAGTAATTTTTTTTAGGATAGAACAAGTATTTATTTTTGTGTGTTGAAATGGTAGAAGGTGAAGAGGTTATTGCTCTTTCTTGGTGCCCCCCCCATATCAGGTGAAGGGCAGACAATGTACAGAAAACAGGGTTTCATTCAGAAAATGGAAAGGGATTCATTAAGACCCTGTCTCGACTAGAAATGCTTTTGTGCATGATTACAGTGGCAGAGGCACTAATTTGGGTTTGATTTCATCACCGTAGTAGCTGGTTCCCAAGGGGTAAAGATCACTTGGGGAGTATAAGCACATTTCATATTTGTGTTTGCGTTAGTTGTTTTTGCTCGTGCTAAATGCCAGCCGGGCCTGAGGCTGGCGAGGCTCCTTTGAGCCAACCACTTAGAGAAACCCACCAAAATTTCTGCCAGAGGTGTGCTTTTCTGAAGTACTTTTCCCACATGCTGTGCATCGCTCTGGCTGGTCCTGACTATCAGAGCTGCTCTGCTAAGGCAGGGGAAGAGCTGCTTTGTGTCCAGGTCTATTTTTGCTCTCAAGAAGGTGATAGGCACACAGCTCCACCCCTGATTCTGCAGAGGGCATGAAGTGTTTGTGATCTTGGTGGCTGTGGACCACCTCCTTCTGATTTTTGTAATCTCAGTTATATAGTATTTTAAATTAGTGAGCTTTGGGGATTGATTCCTTGCCGCCCGCTCTGCAGAAATCATTGGATAAAAGCAGTGGCTTCCGAAGCCCAGTGAGGCGATGTTTGGTTATTCCAGTCCTGAATACCAGAAATCACATGGAGGAGAGGGAAGTCCCCAAATCGCTGGCAGTAAGGGGGGATGCTGCTGAGATAGGAAGGTGATGGGAACACGTGTTGTACAGCTCAGCAGTGTAAGAAATACTGTAAAATGAACAATTAGAAGAACATTTCAGATTGTACATCCTCCTAATTATACTTTTAATTATTCATCTAAAACAAGTAAAATGACCCCTGACAGAGCCATTAATGATTTAGGAACTATCAAATATTTATTAGATGCAACTGAATTCCCACAGAAGTTTTTAACAGATGCACACGAATCTGCTTTCCTGTATTCCTCATCTCCTACAATTTTATCTATGGAATTTATAACCAACTGATTTGAGATTTTCAGTATTAAAAATGCTGCTGAGCTCACTGAGAATTTCTTAAGGGAGGAGACCACTGGTGCTTTTAGTCCATGATGTTTCACCTATTTGGTGTAAGGAGGCAGTGGCCACCAGCAGTAGCCTGGCTGACCGCGGCAGCATCCTGCAGCCAGTCCTGCACCACCCGTCTTCCCACACAAACGCTTTGGTACAAAAGCAGTGCTGAAAGGACCAGAAATCACGGAGGAAGATAGCCCCGTGATGTCTCTGGCACGATTTAGAAAAATCTGAACATCTCATGCACTTTAACATTTAGATGGGTTTGGAGTTGAGATGTTTCTAGCTGGCACAGCTGCACCTGAGATGAGGCTGCTGAAGCT